GTCCTGGGATCGAGCCCCGCATCGGGCTCCCTGCTCCGCGGGAAGCCTGCTTCTCCCTCTCCCACTCCCTCTGCTTGTGTTCCCTCTTTCGCTGTATCTCTCTCTGTCAAATAAATAAATAAAATCTTAAAAAAAAGAACTCTCTTACCAGGGGCCTCCACATGCACTCTGCTCCAGCCACAATGGCTTTTGTTCTGCAAACACATGAAGCTCATTCCTGCCTCTGAGCTTTTGCAGTTGCTATTCCTTCTGCCTGGTATGCTCTTCCCTCAGATCTTTCTCTTTATTCAAGCCTTAGCTCAAATATCATCTTCTCAAAGAGGACTTTTCTAACTGCCCCATCAAAAAAAGTTCTCATCTCACCCCATCTCTCTATTTCATATTGTTACATTGTCTTCATAGTGTTTATTGCCACCTGGACTTAATGTCGTTTATTTTCTGCCTCTCCCCATTACAATGTACTCTTCATTAGGGCAGGGATCTGGTCTGTCTTGTTCATAGCTTGTCCTCCGAGTATATAGGTACTCAATAAATGAATGATAAACAAATAAATTAGCACCATTTTACAGATAAGGAACTGAGTCTCAGAAAGATAAAAGTGACTTGCCGAAGATCCTAAAGCTTGTTATGGGCCCAGAACCTAGGTGATCCGAGACTAGTGCTCACACTGTTTTCCCAGATACAACACATCTCCAGCCATTTCTCTCCTTCACCCTCTTCCCATTCATTGTCTACTTCTCCTGCATCTACCTAGGCTTTTATCTTTCCCTTCTCTTTTCCTCCCCTTCCTCCACCTTTGCTTCTTCCTCTCCAGGCCTGCTTCCTGGCCTTCCTTTTTTCTCCATTTATATTTTCCATTTGGTTTGATCTCAGTTCTCTCTGGAGAGCCCCTGCGGTTTTCTAGGGCAGCTCCCCTAAACCTTCTGGAAGTCCATGGAAGTAACAAAAGCTGCCTCTTTTTTTGGTGGTGCCGTGGAATGTGGGACACCTGCCTTGCTGCTTTCCAGAGACAAAGGGATGTGGGCGTTAGAAAAAAGGGATTTGGGGCCACAAGCTCAGGCCTAGGAAGCAAGAGAAACGTTCTCATCTGCTTCCCTTAAAAGAGCAGAGTCCCCTTCAGTCACTTCTCACTGGCACATTGCTCTTCCCCTGGTGCCCTTGTAGGGACAGGGAAAAGCAGTCTGGTTATAGGTATTCAGCCCTGATTACCTGCCCCCCTGACCTGGAGAACAAAGGGAAAAGGATACAGGTGTGAAGGGAGGAAGCTGGAGGAGAGAAAAGGGAGAGTGTCAGCCAGAGAGAGAAGATGTGAAATGGGAGGGCAAGAAAGGGCAGGGGAGGGCAGAAGAGCCAGGTAGAGATGCAAAGAACAGATATTAGGTAAAGAAGAGAATGGAGAGAGAAGGAGAAAAGGGTGAGAATAGTAAGGGGGAAATGAGGAGAAAGTACTGAATTAGTTTATATTTGTCTGCTATGCTTCAGCCAAACCCTCAGGACAAAAGGACTTGGATGGCCACCTTCCCTCCAGTCCCAGTGTTGGGAATTACCTTGGAGCTGCTGGATCTGCTTGGTGAACACCTCTGCCTGCTGGGCGCTGGCCAGCCGTTCATCCTCCAGGAGCCCTGCAGTGAGAGGGGGAGCAGGTGTGAGCCTGGGATCCAGGGAGCCCAGGCCCTCTGGCCCCCTCCCGGGCACTCACCCTGCAGCTCCAGGGAGTCATCCTCATGCTGCCCTGCCAGCTCCCGGGTCTCCTCCAGCTCTGCCACCAGCTGGAGCACCTGAGCCCTCAGCTCTTCCAGCTCTGTCTCAGTGAGGCTCAGGCCCCGGTGCTTGCTGACAGACAGGGAGCTCACATTGCCACCTTTCTGCACTTGCTCTTCCTCTTCTTCCACCTCTTCTTCCTCCTCTTCCTCTTCCTCCTCATAGAGAGCTGGGAGTAACACTTCCCCTAGAAGAGAAACCCATCCCCCCAGGGGCTCAGAGTCAACTTCCTTTCCAGAGTCCTTCAAGGGCCCTCAAGCTCATGGTCCCAGGGCAGGGATGGTATAATAGTGCCACCTGGTGTCCCCCAAGGAGTCCCTGGGCAGAACCTGCACTCATGATTTGTCCTCAGGTGTAAGGTCTCCCATTCCCCTCCCAGGCCCTTTCTGGACCAGGATTGTACCAGGTGGCCTCCTAGTAACTGCCTTCGGGCAAACTGAGCAGCTGGGTGCTAGTCGGCCATGTGAGCTTACACAAGGATACCTGCTTCTTCCAGTCCTGGTGGTCCCTGCATTGGGGACAAGTACCCAAGAAAGGATTCAGACACTGGGCGTGTCTTTAGGCTGAATGGGGCAAGAGTTACAGTTTGGGGTTTGTCCAAAGTTAAAAAGTTATCCAGGTGGCTTGGGAGAAATTAGCTGTTCCATAATGAGAAAGGGTTGCCTATCAACAGTTAGAGAAAGAAAACATCTGAATGAAATGATTCTAAAATGTTTTACCGGACAAACACTGGGGCCCTTTCAAATGTATTCTATCACATAGCCTTTTTGAAATTTTCTGCAAGGTCCACCTTCCTTTTCTCTGCGGAGTGTCAGGAGGCCTCTCCCCTCCCCAAGTGTTATAAGGCCCCTCCTCCCATGCTGACCATAGGGCAATTTTCAGGTTTCAAGTCCCAGGTTGTACTTGTGTGTAAAAGAAAGCCTACCATTTTAATGCATTAAGAAACTGGGGTGTACTGGTCCCCAGCCTCTGGTTGGTGAATACCCCCTCCTTTGCTGCAATGCAGTTCCTTGAAATAGTGACATTTTGTCAGGATACTGATTACTTGCTTTGTTTTACAATTCTGAATCCCTGGTCTCACAACAGCAGCCTAAGGTTCATCTGGGACCCCTTGTGTCCTCTGTCCCCCATAGGGGAGCAGGGTTGCCCACACAGTGTGCATTGGGACCTGGGGACACTTCACAGGAAGTCCTGGGAAGCGAACAGGCATCCTTCCAGGGGCCTGGTGTTGGCAGCAACTGCCAAGTCACCTGGTGCGGTGGGGATACGTGGGTTTTGCAAGGTTGGTCTCACGTGCCCCCTCCCAGGCAATTCTTTCAGGCCAGCCACAAGGCTTACATTCAAAGTTAGTGGTGGTGGCATCAGAAAGAGAATGCTCACTTCCCTGCTTTTCAAAAATATGAGACAGCTTGGGATCTGGGTCGGGTGGCAGTGAGAACAAACCCCCTGCTGAAAGGCTGCTTCAAAGCTCTGTCCAACGAGGCCTCTTTCTCTGTCTGGCAGCTCCCCCTGGGACACACAACCTGGTTAGCTGGTGATTAGGGCCCCAAAGGGATGTACCCAGAACCTCCCTCAAAGCCTGAGCCCTGAGGAGGGGTAGAACTCAGACCTGAAGGGTAGAGGGGGCTCAGGTGAGCTAGAGGAAGGGCTCTGTCCTGGCTGGGAGTTCTGGGGACCGGATGGGGTAAGGAGGAGGGAAGGGAAATTGGCTGAGGGGACAGAAAGCAAGCTTTTTTGGAAAACTCACCCTCCATAGCTTGCATCCCCCGCCGCTCCAGGGACCCCCAGCGTTGGCCTTTCTTCCTTTCACAACCCTCAGGCGCCTCATAGGAGCCTAAAGTGGTCACTGTGGGTCCTGTGAGCAGGGAGAGAGGAGGCACGGTGGGCTGCTAGGGGCCTGGGGGCTAGGGTGCACGGGAGAGAGAAAGGGACGTGCCTTCCAGCCCTCTGGAGCCCTGGAGTTTTTAATCCCGGTGGAAGTGCTTGGCTCACTCTGCCCAGGCTGCGACTCTCCTCCCGCAGCCGCCCCTCGAGCTGGGCCTGCGGGGACCCCGCCCTGTGCTGCCCAAGCTCCTCGGCATCCCCAGCTCCAGGCTCCTCTCCCAGCACGGACAGAAAGGGTGTGTGTCTCTTTAGCCGGGAGGGGACAGGGAGGAGACGGGCAAGGATGGAAGCGAGGGCGGGAGCCAGGGAAGAGGAGGCTGAAAGGGTGAGGTGCGTGGAAGGGGAAAGGGGTGATTCGGGGAGGAGGGGGCGTGTGGCAAGGGGTTCTGGGCCGGAGCCGCTCCCCTCCCCTCCATTCTCTCCCTGGACCTCGTCCACCCCACCCTCGCCCTGCGCTCGAAGCCTTCGAGCCGAAGTGCGCGCAGGGTCTGGGGCCCCCAGGGCTGGACAGACGAGGTGGAGAGGGTTCGGGGCGAGGGACGGCCAGGGGAGGATGCGACCGGTGTGGGGAAGACCCAGCCGGGAAAGATGGAGTCCGGGCCCGGGGTGGGGGGCGGGATGGAGGGAGGAAGACGGGACGGAAAGGTGGGAGCGGCGGAAGGAGGGAGGGAGAACGAGGGGGTCTGGAGGGAGGAGAGATGAAGAAGAGGAAGGAGTGGCGGTGGAGAGGTGAGGGAGGGGCGGCTCTGACCTGGGCCCGGGCAGCTCCAGCCCGCGGCGCCCGCGCCGGCCCC